AATCAGTTAAAATAATTACATGGCTCAACAAATTTAACATTCTAGAAAAGCGCCAACATATGAAAATTAAATTAAATGAATGTTTGTTTAAGATCATTATTACAATAGACTCCTAATAGAAAGATATTTACAATATTCAAAACATTCCGATTTCATATCTACTGTGAACGTACTATGAAGAGGAATCAATATCTCAATCAGGCTACGCCCATATGGAAGAACCCCCTTTCCAATCAATTTTCATAAACTGATTTGTTTCTTGTTTACAATCTGACTGGAGTGAAAATTTTGACCGATAATAATCAATAAGCTGTCAAATAACAATTCACGTTTACATCCGTTATAAAAGAAGTTGGTCAGTAGCACTGGACCTGTGCAGCATTCTAGAAATAAATTAAAAACTTTGGGGGCGAAGCTATTAAGAACTATTAAGACTCGACACACGACCGACGCGCGTCTATTTTATGTCCGCAGTAAAAGTAAAAAGTAGGCCTACTATGTATTTATGTGTTTCGTTATGTGTAAAATTCGTGTAAGTGTTTTCAAAACTTTATGACGCACCTAATGGGGAAGACCAAGCTCTTATATCAAGGACTGATGATGGCGATTTAACGTCGCCGAAATGCATATCCTGCACTAGGATTCTACAGGATCGACCGGCGGACACAGGTAATTTAACCTTTTATTCTATTAAGAACCTTTATACTGTATTACCATTCGATCCTGGGCTGGATATTAATCTGTAGAATGACATCTCATTTGTATAGATCGGCGAAGTAGGACGGACTAAAAAGCGACGTTAAAAGAAAAATAGTATATTTCATCCCTAGGGCATAAAAACACACTTTTTGGCCGTGTGATGAACTCGTATATTTTCAACATTCATTATTAATTAACAAACTAAGCTAGAAAACGAAATACTTGTTATGTAAAGACTCTCAAAACAACATGTCCATCTTGTTTTCAATTATTTCAATGTAAATAAGCAGCTTACGATTGTGTTACGGTACATTATATCATAGATAGTAGAGCTATTGTCAACAATGCAACAATAAAACCTTACCTTACAAATTAATCGATAAATAATTTCGATTTATACGATTGCCACAATCGAAGTTTACAACTGTTTACAACAGCTGATTTTTCCTACAGTTACCTAGCAATGTACATGTTCTCTCACTGATTTGAGAAAGCAAAGTGGCCAATTCACTCATCAGTGAGACAATGTTAACATTGTCTCACTCTAATTACTTTGTCTCACTCCAGATTTGCAACGCGAAGGCACGAAATAGTGGGCGCGTAACATGCAGGCAACGTCGTAGGCGCGCGAAATACGTTGGCAGCACTGGCTGTAAATCAGCTGGTCAGCTGTTGTACTGTTGTATTTGTCACTTCACATTAAATGTTATATTAAAAGTTCACTTCTGTGTAAAAATAGGTTATGTTTCCTCACAAATTTATTTGTTTTATGGTAACTGTAGGAAAAGTATAATGTGCAACTCGAGTTCAAAGTACAATTGCCTCACTCGAGAAACCATTCCTCACTCGCCTACGGCTCGTGAGTAAGGATTTCTCTCGAGTGAGTCAATTGCTCACTTTTCTCACTAGTTGCACAAATAACTATTTACTCCCTAGGGATCAAAATCATTAAATATAAATTAATCATTAATTATTTCGAAATATAAAAACAGATCTTTCAACTTTTTATCAGGTATGAAGTTAAGTATTGTATCGGAAAATTCAGTAGCAGCCGTTCCAATGTATCAGCATACACGATGTAACGAATGTGGTTAACGTTGTTTGGGTTCAACTATAAAATTTGATTGAATTTAAAGAACTAGCTATACCAATGCGTGATATATTTCTACGGGGGTTGGTAACATCATAGGGTTGTTGACACCTGATTTCTTGTATGGAGAGAGTCATGGATTTAGTCATTAGAATGCTGTATCATCCTTACATTTTGGCATATTCGGCATGTCAAACACACGACAATGTTTAAAATGAGTTATTTGTAGTGTTTAAGAAAAAATAATTTAAATCTAATTATTTTTCACCCCTTTGGTATTGTTACCAATGATTTTTGTAACCTGTATATTTTTATGTATATATTTTTTTGGTTAATTTGTATCTTTATGTATTATGTACGCCTCGTACAGTTATTGTTTTTATTATATTATTAATTCGAATTGATCATACAAATTGTACGGTAATGATTGATTTTCTAGAATTACAACATGTGGCCAAAGTATTAGGTCCAACACTAACATGTCACGTGTAGTACCCAACATGTAATATTTAAAAATTGTATTCATAATAATTTTAATTTTACTTTCTCTTCCCATATAGTAGGCTATAGCTATTGTTTACGTTATAGCTTTAGAACAATCTGGTTAAGGCCACCCCGAAACCAAACAGTGTAAATAATAATATGTTTGTGTAGATTTGTACAAATTATGTAGGGTGTATTTGTACAACTATGGCCAATTTTGATGTAACTTTGACATAAAGGACATTTCTTCTTAGCAAAGTTTTAATAATATTAATGAGAACTTCTCATTACTTTTGGGTTTGGATAATAATGGCAAATAATTGCAGTAACATCCAAGTAATTCAGTGGTGTAGTGGAGCAAGCGTTCCCCCTGTTTTGTTTTTTTATTTTTTTAATAACCTTAATATTGATAGACCCGTATTTGTTCTACGACCACGGTAAGTTTTCCCGTACTAAAAACTATACGACTGCGCCACTTAACCTGCGATTCTTGGTACGAGTTTGGCTGATATTAAATATAAATTACTCCCGCAGCCACACGCAGCAAACCTGCAGGCTAAGTAAACTACTATTTATCTCATTGTATTTTAACTGAAATATTGCCTTCAAGATATCAGATCTATTATCTATTTAAATAACATTACAGTATGTTTAATGACTACTTCGGTTACTACAGGGAAGAAAAGAAGTGTGTTTTCGGTAAAATGTTAATGGTGGATAGACTTGTGGCTAAGTACTTATTTTTTAGCTCTTCTCTATGGCTGCCCACTGGGCATTTTCATGTTTTAAGGGTAAAATTTATAAAACAACAAATGTGAACAATTTCAAAATCCAATAACACCCCTTATCCATTGCCCGATCTTGCTGGTTTGTTAACTCAGAACTCATTCTTCAAAGTTTATCCGGAACTTAACATTTATTCAAAAGTTTATAAAAATTGGGCCAAAATAACTAGAGTTATCGTGTTTACCGACACACACAAACACAGTGTATACTTTGGGGAGACATAAAATCCAAAAAGTTAAATGGTCCAGGGTTTACTGTGCTATCTACGGTAATAGCTTATCTCCCATTATGGGACATTCGCTTGAAATTAATTATTGCATTTTTATTATATAACAACTACATTACACTAGCGATAGCCAGATAGTAGAATAAAATATCAAACAGTAGTACAGCTCGAATTAGTATATTTCGAACCTTTTTAGCACGGTGGATTCAGAAGGGAAAAACGAATTTACTTGAGATGCAGAAATAAAACAGGGAGCTTAAATTTTCCGTTCTCCCAGTGAGCTGCCACCCTGACTCCAGTCTACCTGGCTAGCAGTCGTGGCTCACGTCCCTAGGGTTAAAACCTTTTCAACCCTTCAATTTTCGTGGCTTTCGTAAACCACAGCTTAACTCACCTGAGCGGTGAGAGGCGTTTTCGCGAAAATCGGATTTGACTTGGAACCATGAGTGGCGGCGCTTAACCGCCGCTCAGACGTATCGTGGCCATCCCCAACAAATTTATTTGCAACTAAATGAAACCCGATGTCAGAGCGGCGCCGCTCACGCCGCTCGCCGCTCACCACTTGCCGCTCGTATCGTACCCGGGGCCTAGGCCATAAAAATTCGTGGCTTTCAGGACGCAGCCCTAAAATTAACCAACCTTACCCAACCATAAACAAAATAAATCAATCTTGTGAAATAAATGGTATTTTTTTTAACAAATATGCCTAAGCTAAGTGTATAAAATCCTATTGTTATTGCTCCATTTCATACTTTGCCTAAAAGGTTCAGGCATTGTATAGAATGCCTGCATTCACTTTGTCTGTAACGTATATAACATTGGTTCTATGGTTTTGTAAAACAGCTATTAATAAAGGGTATTAGATGACGATAATCAATCATAATCGAGCAACTAAATAATACTTGCTTATAAAGTCAATAAGTATCCTTACATCTATACAGTTAAAGGTTAACCTCTACAATTGAAATGTATTGTCTTAATGTAAGTTTACCATGTTTGATCAAATGAGATATTAAAAAAATATATAAATTGTAGAGGACTATTACTTCTTTTATGCGAAACCCCCAATATAGATATTACATTTATCGCCACTACATCATGTAGTGGTAAATTGGCCCAATAACCCAAATGGAGAGTCGGGACGAAATGATCAGATGACGCCGGATAACATGTCTGTAAAGGTGTCAACAATGTGTCAGCTCTGACGCAGTTATTCAAAGCGTGTACTACGATAGTGGTGGGGTTAGGGGTAGGTGGGGGTGATGGAGGGATGAAGAGGGGTACGTGGTGGGGGAAGGTAATGGAGCGAGCACTAATAGAGCCTAATTAATTGTAACAGTCAGTTACAGGCCTGCGGGTCGCAAGAAGCCCCCTCTCTATTCATTAACGAACAAACGGCAAAACATCACTCCATGTCATCGGCAACATGTGCCATCACCGACTTATATTGTTATGCCCTGTGTAACACATCAACTCTGTATTAACTGTTTAGCAACATCGAATAAATTGCGATACCACTCTCCGTGTCAGCCACATGTAGCTAACATTCATATTTTACTTTCCGCCCATTGCAACATTCGCGCACCGGTACGCTATTTTTGCGTTATACACTGCATTTACGCTTACTCCGGGTTATGCGGTAATGAGTGGTCTGGGTATAAGGGTCGCCATAGATCTTGACCGATGAATCGGCACTACTAGCCATCCTACAAGTTTTCAACAAGCTATCGTCGGACCAGTGATAAGGGTCGGGTCGTAAAGCCGCCTATTGTCCACCACGGAGGGCGGCTCGACCCTCATTAGTGCCGCTCGGTCGCACTCAGTAAGGAATCTGATACCATAAAATAATTCTCTTAAGGAATAGAAATAGTTGAGAATAATTGTGATAATGAGATTTACCTTGAAATTTCGAGTATTTTTATGTAAAATTTGGAGTAAATCGGCCAATTTTCACATATTAATTTTTCTCTAAAGAGGTATGTTTAACCAATTGCCGAGTTGAGTCAATATTTACAACAAATGACTTGAAATTTAAAGACGATATAAATGTTATTTTTGGAGTTTATATAGGTGCGTTCGAGCCCAATTCAATGCAACTCAAGTATTAGTACGTCCAGTAATATCTCATTGTAAAATACGGTCATGGCGTAAAAAAATTAACAAGTACACTAACAATGTTAATAACATCAATATGGTCATTACTTACATCAATTAATTTCCGGACTTCAAATTTACAATTCCTCTATCCCAGAAAGGTCCATCTCTTCTCCTTCAGATGGTTCATCTGCACCTTCACTGTCCTCACTGTCACTTTGTCCTAAATCAACAATAACAGCATCATGGAACTCGTCAATTAATTGTTCTCTCTCAAAATACTGATCTTCAATACTTTTCACGTGACTGCAGCACTTTTCCCACTCACTGGCGCCGATTTCAGATACCTTCGCTTCAACTAATCTCATAATACTGTTCATGTTAAACTGAGTATTGCGTTCAGCTACATAACCCTTGATCTGAGACCAGATGAGTTCGATGGCATTCAGGTCAGGGTGATACGGAGGCAGACGAAGAACCGTATGACCACTGTCATTCCCCTCTAAGATTTCGTCTAGACTGTATCTCGTTGGTGGTTTATTTTGCTGGATTAGGTTGAGAAGCTCTGCCTTAAACATGGTTGGTGTGAAATCTATGTTGTGTTGAGTCAACCATGCCTGCATGTCCGCCTTTAGAGAACTTTTTGTGGGGATTTTATCCAGTGTCACATTGTGATAAGAGGCATTATCAATAATAATTACCGATCTTGGTTTCAGATTTGGCGACAGTTTTTCTTGTACCCACTTTTCATAGTTAACAGTGTTCATGTTTTTGTGATAGTCCCCTGTACTTTGGCTGGCTTTCCACTGGAGAAATGTGTTTGGTATAAAACCATCTTCTCCACCTGCGTGTACGATGATTAGACGGTCTCCATTACCAACTGGAACATGAAGTCCACCATTTGTACTATCCTGCCATAAGTAGCGTGATTGGTTACCACATACGTCTCATCGGTGTACACTATTGGTCGGCCTTCCCTTCTAAATTGTCTCATTTGCCTAATAAAATTTATCCTTTTGTTTCTTATATCTTCTCTTTCAATTAGGATTCTTCTGTTATTCCTAGTCTTTCTCCACTTGAAACCCAGTTCTTTCAAAATTCGCCTCAAACTTGTGTTGGAGCCTTTGAAATCGATGGCTTCGGAAAGTCTCAATCGCAACTTCTCAACTGTCGGGACACATTTGTCAGATACATAGAAATTATGTACAGTTCTCCTAACAACTGCTTTGTTAAACTCATCCATTTCTGTAATATTCTTTTTAATTTCTCGTTTTTTATCTGGTGTCAAAAATGAAGCAGTCTCACCAGGGGGAGTGTTATTTAGTTTTACAGCTTCTTTTGTAATCCGGTGTATGGTACTTACAGAAACACCCGTTGCTCTGGAACATCTTTCCTGGCACCTTTTCACTGGCACTATGAAATGATTTTCATTCCACTGTCTAGCTTCTTCTTTAAAAAAGTTTAATACATTACACACTATTTCCCTAGACTGTCCATGCAATTTTTTGTTCTGGACCTTGCTCAATATTGGAGGCATTTCTAATCACAGAAGTGCACATACACGACACAATGATATACTACGGAACGACAGAGAATATGTCCTATCAGCCGGAATACCACAGCGTAACTGTTAAGTTAAAGTGTAAAAACCCAGAGGTTGGGGCAGATTCCCGAAAGGGTGACATGAGTCATAAACAAGCATCTGGCAACAAACACATTTCTCGGTAAAGGAAAGAGAAAGCAAGCCTCCTGTAACGTGTTTCCCTCTTACAAACCCCAAAGCGCGACAGTAAAAATGTTTTACAAAAACACCAAGTTCATTTCAGATCACTAGACTATTAATTCGTTTCTTTAGACACCATAAGACAAGATAACAAAGTTAAAAAGGTTTACACAATTTACGAGAAAATAGATCATAATGTTATATTTCTGAAACTTGACAAAACAAAAATTGTTGTAAATCACCCCAATATTCGTCGATTTATATGTGTGTATTTTATATTGTAATAATTACCTATATGATTTTTAAATAACTCCAAAATTTCGAAACCACAGATTGTTTAACTTTTTGTGATATAAATTTAACAAACTGGGTACAAATTTGAAACTTTGTAATATAAAATTTGACAATACTTTCTTAAATTTGATAGTGTTCTCGTCAAACGAACCATTTCGAAGGTGTGGGTGTGATACCGTACACTCGAGTCTACACTATTGTTGCACGGGCAGTAGTTGTAGGAAACCAATGTTTTCAGGAAAGTACCCGCACTCCTCCCCGCGCCCATCCCAACGCTCGCCAATCCATCTGTCAAGATCTGTGGCGACCCTTATAGGCTGAGGTTAGAAAAATACTGTGGTCGAAAAGACCCTTTCAGTCTGTGTGATAAGCCATCTTTTGCATTATATCAGGAAACCTTTTGTTTTGCACCTTTCTCTAAGATAACAAAATTTCTAAAAATACTCTGCATTTCGATTATAATGGTAGTTTGAAAAAGTTAAATGCTTCGTATAGTAGGTCACCGTAATACAAATCTCAAATTCAAATCAGTCTAAGTACAGAGATATTATAAGAGATATTATTTATAGAGAAGAAGAAAGAAGAAGTAAGATTATAGTAAAATGTTCACTGTAAAACGATGGTAAAGACGAACACATTCGAATTACAATATGCTAATGCGTTTGCAAATCGGGAATAATCTCTTCCTCAAAAACAGAGTACGAAGTTGACCGAGCTATTTATGATATAAAAAACACAATGCAAATAAATAAATAAGTACAAATAAAAACTCATCTAGTTTAAATACATAAATCCGGGTGCGTGGACAAATTCTGACTTAAATTTTGTGTTGAAATAGTGCGATTACCGGATCAACAGCTGTAGATATCAGCGAAATCAGAATTAAAAGTAGATATACAGTAGTATACATTTTTGTTACAGAAATCCAACATTGGGACAGTTCAAATACTAAGTGGCTCTATTCATAGATAGTGTTTCAAGTCCATATTTTTGTTTTTATTTAATTTAATTTAAAAGTTGTGAATTTTTCATTCCTGTCGTAAAAATTATATATACAATGATTCCAAATATATTTTCTGAAAGAACTATTTGTTCACATTTCATTGTGTTTATGTTTTTACAATGAGGGTTGACTTCTAATTAAATTATACAGGGTGGCTGAAAAGTAACTTACACCCCACCTTAACTTTTCAACCATTTGAGATATTTAAAATCTGTTTGCGGCAACCTTCTTAGATATGAGGGGCTACAATAATTATGGTCAATTTTGAAAATTTCACCTTTAGTTGTAGTGGGGGTAGGGGTAGCTCCAAATTTTCAAATTACAAGTATAGTCGAGTTTGGTATCATTTTACAGGTCTTGACGAAACATGACAATCGACATAAAGAAAACAAAAATCGGCCCACTAATAACAAATTGGTGCCCTAAAACGTTTCAAATCCAAATAACCATGAGGATGGCTGAAAATTAACTTGCACCCCCTTTAACTTTTTAACTATTTGATATATTTGAAATTGGTTTGCGGCAACTTGTTTGGATATGAAGGGCTACAATTATTATGGTCATTTTTTAAAAATTTTGCCCTTAGGGGTAACGGGGGTAGGGGGTAGCTCAAACTGTTCAAATAGCAAGTATAGTCGAGTTTGGTACAGGTCTTAACGAAAAATAACAATTAACAGAAAGAAAATAAAATTCGGACTATTAATAACAAAATGGCAGCTAAAGATGATTAAAACAATGATTATTAAAAGTTATTTTGAACTGCCATTTTTTATTAATGGTCCGATTTATATTTTCTTTATGTTAATTGTTATGTTTTGTCATGACCTTAAACATAGTACCAAACTCGACTGTACTTACTGTTTGAAAATTTTGAGCTACCCCCTACCCCCGCTACCAGTAGGAGCAAAATTTTCAAAACTGACCATAATTATTGCAGCCCTTCATATCCAAACAAGTTGCCGCAAACCGATTTCAAATATCTCAAATAGTTAAAAAGTTAAAGGGGGTGCAAGTTAATTTTCAGACACCCTCATGGTTATTAGATTTGAAACGTTTTAGGGCGCCATTTTGTTATTAGTGGGCCGATTTTGGTTTTCTTTATGTCAATTGCTATGTTTCGTCAAGACCTGTAAAATGATGCCAAACTCGACTATACTTGTAATTTGAACATTTTGAGCTACCTACCCCCTACCCCCACTACCCCTATGGGCGACATTTTTAAAAATTTACCATTATTATTGTAGCCCCTCAGATCTAAGAAGGTTGCCGCAAACAGATTTCAAATATCTCAAATGGTTGATAAGTTAAGAGGGGTTGTAAGTTACTTTTCAGCCACCCTGTATACGTCCGTAACGGGAGTTAAAGTGTCCCAATGCACGGTCATCGATGCATAATAACTCCCTAATATACAGTAATATAATAATATAATACTAACATAATAATCGATGTAGAGAGTATTATACATCGATGTGCACGGTAAATAATATTATGCAATACACTAGACAGTATTATTGAAGGTGCGCTTATACATTGTTCAAACAATTGTCATATCCCCCGGAGCATGTTTGTTTAGGTAAAAAGGCAGGAAAATGTAAAAACCCATTTAATTTATCATTTGTGGTTCGAATGCTGCAGCGTGTGTGGTAGTCACTTTCCTAAGCTGAGGAAAACCAAGAGGCGGATATGGACAAAAATGTGGTTGAAAAGCGAAAATTTTACTAACCTCCTTCGTAGCTCACAATGCAAATGCACAATACAGTAAAAGAACAAAAAAATTGCATGTTCCTTAGATTGTCAAGTTTTTAAAGGCAAACAAGGATCACCAACTATGCAGTAATATTATATTTTACTTTTACTCATAATTTATTTTTATAAGTTTCGATTCCTTTTTTGTTTCGTTCCAAGCAAGAAAAAAAATAGTGTTGTGTAAACACTTGGGATGTGTATGTAATTTGGGTATTTGACCGTCCCACCAAGCACTCTCCAACACACTTATAGTAAAAGTTATACCAGAATTACACGGTAAAGCCTAAATAGCCTAACTATAGAAGTAAATAGTCGGTTTGTGTGTGTAATTGTCTGTTGCCCAGTTTCCCAACCTGTATAACGTGTGTTATATGTCAGGAATGTTTATAAGGCGTCAACTTAAACTTCGCGACCTTATCCAAAACTGCCTACAGCCAACAACCAAACTGGACATTGGTATACGGTAGGAATGGTTTGTTCTCATGTTATGGTACATTGTCTACGAAACCGAGGTTCGTCCACATGTGGTGGGACACCGTCTACGATACCGAGGTTCGTCCACATATGGTGGTACATTGTCTACGATACCGAGATTCGTCCACATATGGTGGTACATTGTCTACGATACCGAGATTCGTCCACATATGGTGGTACATTGTCTACGATACCGAGGTTCGTCCACATATGGTGGTACATTGTCTACGATACCGAGGTTCGTCCACATGTGGTGGGACACCGTCTACGATACCGAGGTTCGTCCACATATGGTGGTACATTGTCTACGATACCGAGATTCGTCCACATATGGTGGTACATTGTCTACGATACCGAGATTCGTCCACATATGGTGGTACATTGTCTACGATACCGAGGTTCGTCCACATATGGTGGTACATTGTCTACGATACCGAGATTCGTCCACATATGGTGGTACATTGTCTACGATACCGAGGTTCGTCCACATATGGTGGTACATTGTCTACGATACCGAGGTTCGTCCACATGTGGTGGGACACCGTCTACGATACCGAGGTTCGTGTGTAGTGTGGGGTTCGATAGACTGTTATCGCAGCTGCCCGCCAGAGGCGATAGTCTGCTGTCCGATCCAGTCCTTCCCCCAAGCTCTTCGATTCTGCTCCGCTTTTTATACCAGCTGAATCTCGTCCTTTGTAAAATATTATTCCAACACACAATAGGTCGCGTTTTATTGGGGTAAGCACTCGATAATTTGTTAACCGCGTTGACAAGCCACCTCCCCGCCACAATCCTATTAAAGCCGCGCTTAGCTGCCCAGTAGCCCGGTCAATATACATAATCCCTCTACAAACGACTCAGCCATTGTCCCTAGAAAAATAATGTTGTTTTCAGAGTCTTTTCAATAAACAAATTTACTGTTGAAAACACCCTGTGTCGGGGCTTTATGGTAGCACTCATTGTGTCCCCTACTTAAAATTTGTTTATAAACTTGTATTTATCC